CACAATTTACAAGTAGCTTAGATGAGATCTTGCTCTGCCCAGTGTAATAGCAATAGCTCATCTCTGCTAGAATTACCTGATATTTTCTGGAGTTGCATTTAGCTTTTTCATGGCCGTGTTGCATTTGTGACTCTCACTTCTCATGGGATGGACTAATAAACCTGGACCCTTCACCTCTGTCATTTCCAGCAGCTGCCAGCTCACAGCAGCAATTCTCAGTGTTAGCCCAGTCCCTGGCCTTGCATTTCATGCTATTGAATTTCATCTTGTTTTTCTCACTCCAGTTCTTGAGGTCATCTACTTCTTCCTTTATGATAACCTGATCTTTCTTTCTATTAAGGGTGCCTCTGCAGACTTCAGTGGGACCTTCCGAACACTCTGTTCCGTACTGAAGTCGTTAATAAAAATTGGATGGGAGTAGGCTCAAGACTGATCCTTCAGGAATTGCAGCAACAGCCCCGTAGTTGTCTGAGGATGTCTTTGCTTTAACCACCACTTTCCTCACCTCAGGACTGTTGTAGAAACCCACAGTTTGTAATTTCCCATGTGGCACCTTGCTAGTGCTTCATGAAGCACAGACTGTGGCTGCTCCAATTCCCTCAGCAGTTTTCTTATCGAAGAAAGCTGTTGTGTTAGTCGCATGTGATCCACTTTTAATGATTTTTTAAAATTTTCCTTCCGTTTAATTACTGCAGTAGGGTAGCATGAGTAATGGACCCCTTAATAGGATTTCTGAGCGCTCCGTATTGCACGAGCAGTGAGCAAAACTGATCCCTGCCCCAAGGAATATATTGCAACTTTATTCTTTCTTTATTTTTTTGAAGGACTTGCAATGTGTTGAGTTCATCATGGGTCTGCCCTGCCCAGTGGTTTCACAGCTTTGTTTCACGTCTTTGATTTCTCTGGTTTGATCCAGAGTTGCAACTCTGGCTCCTCCCTAATGCAGAGATCATACATTTATGCACAGTTTGCAAATCTGGAAAATACACATTGAATGTTGATGTGAAAACCCAGCTGTGTCCCTTTCTAACTACACATGCTATAATCTGGTGTACACATCAGTGAATTTCAGATCTTAAAAGTTAAGGGGATTTTAATTACTGATAAGCTTTGCTGTGCTCCTGCTTGTTCTCCTTTGCTTCAGTCCTGGAGGGTGAAGATCCAGCTCGCCTCACTCAATTCAGACTTCAGCTCTCTCTGCTGGACCAGTCTTCCTGGACCTTCTCTGCCATAAACCAAGAACTGTTGCACTTGTAAAACTTCGAAGGGAAGAGGGAAAAGGGAGAAGTTCGGCGAGGTGTCTCAAAAACCTGGGGAGAAATCACTGGTAGTCCCCACTGCCAGTATAGCTGCAACTTGGACGTTAAAATACTGGCTGGTGTATATCTCTGCGTGTCTGTCCCTGGGAAAATCTTCCATAGCACCAAACCCATCAGTGCTAAATTCCTGGTCCTTTCCTGATTTTATTCACTGATTATTCAGCCTCATTATTTTTTTTTTTTACAGTAGGAGTTTTAAATCCCATCCTCAGTCATTGTTCAGCTCTTCATTGCCAACAAGAGGATTTGTGACTGGTAACTGAAGACAGCATGCAACCTTCAGCCTGGGGAGAGTTGTCCCCGATGAAGGCCTTAGCAGAGACTTCAGAATAACCCAACCTGTGTGCGTTGTTCCTCTTTATAAGCAACTATAGTTTGGCCAACAATGGTGTTCGGGCTCACATAGTATGTGTCAGATGTCATTTTGTTGTGGAAAATGCAATCCCACACAAAAGATTCCACTGCAGTTTATGGTAAAAATGTCTTTACTCTCTAAGAGCATAGGTGGGCAGCTCTGATCATGGGAGCAGAACTTCCCGAGCTGACTCGTCTCTCCCTCAACTGTTACAAGGTTCACATCAACACTTGTAGTTTCAGATTACTGAGAGTCAATGACCTTTATTTTTTGGTTGGTTTCCGTTTTATACTTTCCTTAGCAGGAGGGATTTAAAAAAATGAAATACACAGTACACGTACACACACGTTTGTCTTAAGGCAGTCCAAGTGCTCATCCATAGGCGGGGGACTGATTAATGCGATGTTAGTGCTCAGTGCCGTGCGTCTCTGCTTTCGTGACTTTCCTGGTGCCAGCATGTGGCATTAGACTTGTGAGAACGACTGGAAGGAAGAAGCATTTATTCTTGCATAGTGGGGGGCTTTTCAATCTTGCAGACAAAGGCATAACAAGATCCAGCAACTGAAAGTTGGACAAATTCAACCTTGAAATAAGACACGGTTTCCTAGCTGCAAGGAAAATTAAAGTTTGGAACAGCTTGTGAGGAGAAGTGGTGGAGTTGCCGTTGCTTGGAGTACAGACAAGATTTGCTATCTCTCTGAAAAGGGTTTCTTTAATCCGGCATTGTGGAAGAGTTCTGTGATTTGTGTGTGCAGGAGGTCAGGTAAAAGGAGTATAGCAGCGCTGTCTGGTCTTGGTGGGTGAGTTACTGGATGTGATTAAATGACCTTTTTGGTTTGGGTCAGTGAACTTCTAGAATAAAAGGATTGGCTGCAACACAGAGAGGGCTGTGAGATGAAGCAATATCTTAGAGAAAATAAAAATGAACGTCTGTCTTACTGTCTTTTTGACTGTTAATAATTAAAGTTGCTATTTACCAGCTGTGTGGTTAAAACCCGCATAAATGTTAATATCAAAGTATCTCAGTGGCAGAAGACGACTTTGATTCTAAGCAGCATTCTGGTTTTTAAGGATCTTTCTCTTCACAGTGTTTGTCTTTTTGCCATGTATTCTTCATTAGAGCCCATTTCGTATCGATCTTCCTCTGGAAGGTGGTGGGAATGGAAAGTGCCTTCGACCACTGCAAAGTGCAGCATAACACACTGCTGAAAGTGTTACTATTTTTAGGTCCTAGGGGAAATCTGAAGCAATAATTATCATTATATTTTCATTCTCTTAGCCTTCAACAACAAACTGTAAAGGCTGTATTCAAACTGCCTGCTTTAAAGATCTTGAACAGAGTCCCAGAGAGAGAGCACTCTGAATTGCTCCATGAAATTTTGATTTCTAAAATTCACCAAGTCTGAATATGTGCAAAGCTTCGGAGATTTCAATGCAGCCTTAAAATGTCTGTGTTTTTCCAAGACAAACATCTATCCAACTGTTTTATTTCAAGGAGGTGCTCTCAAAATGTTCCTGCAACTTTGATAGTGGTAGGTAAGGTTTTCGGAAGTTATTAGAAGTAGCTAAACTCTGCTGCCATTGGAGCCACCAGAAAAGCCTTCTCAGTGCTTTGATGGCAAAAGGCTTAGGCCAGTAGCAAGTGTTTGAAGTCAAGTTCAGTTGCTTCTGCAGTCACAAGTTTTGCAGTAACAAGGTAATGACCTACGTAACTGTAATTTACAGCAGACCAGTATTAGTAACTGGAGTTTCTTGAGAAGTGGCAGGGTTCAGTTGTTCTGCTCTGTCCCTCTCCTGGTTTGGATCCTGTTGGAAATTCACCAGATGGTCTTTGGTAAGGAATTTAATCTTTGCCTCAGGTGCACTATTTCCAAAATGGGAATCTACCGTGCTTTTCTAAAATCCATTCAGTTTCTCTTCCTGCTTGTCATGCGTGGGAGCACCTGGTGAGCTAAAGTGGGCTGGTGTTACCTTGCTGGCAGGGCAATGATGGTAGCTGGTTCCCCAGAGCTCTGCTCCGTGGAAGCGCTACAGCAGATGGCCGAAGTTTCGAAAGAACACCTTTACCTGGAGGTAAAGCTCTTACTAATATATGGCTCCAACTGGAGGTGCCGTGTCTTTGAAGATGAAAGGGAATGGAGTTCAGATGAAGCTCGTCTTGTAGAGGCTCTTTCTACCTGAGATGGGTTGATGGTCTGCGTGGGTTGATGGTACAACTCTTGGGAAAACAAGCCAAGTAGATTCTGTCCCTTCAGGTGTTACTTGTCTTCACAATTGGAAAGTCCTGCCATCCAGTGGTATAACGCATGAGCAATCCTACCCATTTTTGTTTTGTGAGGCACCTGCAGTTTTTCCCCACGGACCCAGAGCACACTTCACACCCATCCTTGCCTTCATGTCAACCGCAAATAACAGGCGCGTGCTTGGCTGGAGTGATACCTGGAAACTGCTGGGGCTGCTGGCCCCTGCGGTGTGAAGGTACCTGTTTATGTAGGACTAGATGCTGGCTGCAGTCCTGGACAGGACACTGAGGCACCCGGTGTCCAGTGTATTGTCATGTAGAACTCCCTTGGAAAAAGAGAATAATTTTGTGTGTTCATGAGCACTGTTTTCTGCAGCGTTCCTTTGGAAACATGGCTGGAAGAGATGCTTCCCAGCTGGCCAACTTCCGCAAGTCTCAGCAGGTGCGGTACTGCCCACTCCACATCCACTGCCAACACCCTCAGTGCTGAGGGTCTTGGGATGTTGCCATTGAATTCAAAGTTGGGGCCAAGACTGAATTTTATTTCTTTCGGAGAATAATTATATAAAAGGCAGTGTGAGGGTTTCTGTGCGGTGTTGTAAGGAAAATTTTCAAACCAGTCAACAGAGCCGTTGGGTTTTTAAGGAGAAACTGCTCTTCTGCAGCCAGAATGCCACAGCGCTAAGGAACAGCAAGGAAACTGGCTTTGATTTTTCATTGTCCATCAATGTAACAGACACGATAAATAATGACAAATTACATTGTGAGTTTTATTAATCAGAATTATTAATAAAGTAGTTGATGTCTTTTTAAACAAGGTTTCTCTTTAATATATTTTGTGAGGCTTGCCTTGGTTACTGAAAACCTGGCACTGCTCTGATAACGGTATGAAAGTCAGTAGCTTTAAGAGCAAGAAGGAGAGCTAAGCAGGTAAGGGGAGCGCTCTGTCATCGTATCAGTGGGTTTGTGTTTACAGTTCGTTAGTCCGTGTTTAAAAATACCACGCTGCCAATTTAAATCACAGCTGGATTCATACAAATTTTGAGATTATCACTTGCTTAACAAAATCCTTCTTTTGCTTTAGCTTGCAGATTCGCTGGTGCCCTTGGAGATTAAGCCTGGTATTTCCTTAGCAACAGTTTCTGCCGTGTTGCATACTAAAGACAACAAGCATGTGCTGCAGGTACAGTATAATGGGAAAGGGAGAAAAATATCCTTACGCTGGGTTTCCTGCCATCTGGGACCCCAGCTGTTCTCATGAGGCAAGCCCTCCAACAAGCCTTTCCCCACCGGAGCAGAGTCCTTGTCAGATGCTTTGTCCTGGCATGTGCGAGTGAGGAATTACACTTGGAGTAGAGAGTGGGATGCAAATAAATCTCTTTACCCTCTTTTCCTTGGCCATGTGCCTGGCTAAGATAAAAGGGGAAGTGAGATTGTTCCTGAAGAGAGGCTACAAATCATACTGCTGTCTTCCCTAACCCGAGCACCAGGATCAGCATCAATCAGCCTCTCGTGGACTTAGAACTGAGGGTCAGAGGAGAGAGATGACCTAAAATGTTAGACGTGTGAGGGGTCTGTCTTCCTTAAGTTGCCCTGTTCCCCAAGAAGCGGATTGTGCATCCCTTGTACAAAGTACGAGTGTACGCTCTCTTCCTACCACCTCCTCTAGGCTGACGCTGGAATTCCTGGCACTAGAATTCCTGGCTGTGCAGAAGGAGATGATGTCTGGTGGACCTGCTTAGCAGTGGATGCCCCAATCCCCTTTCTCCTTTGAGCCTGCAGGGAACTCAGGGAAGCCATACTCTGCACGATGCTGCCTCTGGGCAGCAGAGCTGGGCTCAGCTGGACACTTAGGAAGAAGGCCCAGTATGGTAATGTCTTTAATGCAGGGACATAAAGATCAGATAAGGATTTATATCAGTGCACACAGACAGGCTATCTTGCTTTTTCCAAGTCAGTTCCCTAGAAACACTAGGCAACACTGAAAATGTTGAAGTATTGCAATGCAATTGGTCTGAGGCTGCTTTCTCCTTTTGTGTTGTGTATTTACTGTCTTCTCTACTCTGATTCCTGACGCCAAATGAATTTAGACCTAGGCTTAAAATGCCAGAGGCCTCATAAATGGATGGAGGTAAGCCAGCACAGCACTGGCTGAGCCTGGGACCTCTGGGAGTTACAGGAGCTGTGTGTAGACAAGCCCCAAAAACTACTGCGTGTGAGTGATTCGTGCCCAAATAACATGACACGTGCACGCAGGCCCGCCAGCTAAAGGGAAAAAGGTGGGTTTTGTAAAGCGACTCAAGTGCATCGCTGCTCGTGGAACTGGAGCCTGAGCAGGCGGCATTTCTGTCCCAAGGGTGAAAAACACCCTTCCCTGGCTGTTGAACGAAACACAGGGACGTCACAGCAGCAGGTTCAGACATGATGCGCCATGGTGGGAAAGACACGGAGTTGAGAGGAGCCCAGTCTGTCACCTGGAGCGTACAGGGTGCTGCAAGGCGCTGGGCTTGCTTCGGGCGAACTCCCTGTGTGTTGTGCAGGCGCGTCCCTGGCAAAAGGTCTTGCCAAAACTTTGGAGAAATTCTCCCCAGCACCCTTTTCCCAGGAACCGAGTTGCCAGTTCACTGGGAAACACCAGCGCTGACACTTCCCCGACCTGACTAACTTGGCGCAACACGGACTTATTTTACACGATAATTTCCCCACTGTTCTTTTTATAGGAATCTGCTTTTCATCTCCACGAAATGGTCTTTCGGAGTTAACCCCACATCTTGCCTGCACACGCAGCGACACACGGCGCTGGGTTAGCTACCGCTGCGCGCGCTAGCCCTGCCTCCCCGTCCCCGCCGAGGGAGAGGGGGCTGAGGGATGAGTCAAGGCCGACAGCTTTCGGAAACAGCACAATATTGTACCCAAGTCACGCTCCGGTGATTTTTCAGGCGCTGCAGCATCTCTCACGCCTCCTTGGCTGTATTCAAGTTCTTCCTAAAGACTCACTTTTCTGGGGCCAGTGAGAAATTAATTACCCACTTTTCTCATTCCCCGAGTAGTTACTTGCTCTGAATTTGCCCGTTGCCCAACCTGTTGCATCTTTTAGAGTGTGATTTTCAAGGCATTTACTTCTTTAAGTCACAGTTCCTAGAAAATGTTGCAGAATGCTGAAATAGAAAGCTTCAGTCTTGAACTGAGTCAGACAGGCCTTTTAAGATGATGGAAATCTGAACAGATCTGAATTTGACAGGAATTTTCAGGTGACGGAGAGTTGAACTAAACCTGCTAAATTTATTTCTATAAATTGTGGCTTGTGTGTGCGGAGCTGCAGTGGAGCCCAAGACTGCTCCCCCATTCAGCACTGCAATGTTCCCCTTCAGTCACAGAAAACAGAATCAGTATTCTGTTTCTATCTCATGTACTTGTTATTCCAACTAAATTATAGTAAGCTGATGTGATTCACTGCATTACTGTGCACCTTCTCATCCATTAGCTCCCTCCAAAACCTCCGCAACCTCCCGCCAGCAAGAAGAGAAAGCGAGTGAGTGATGACGTGCCGGAGTGTAAACCTTTGAAGCCATTGCTGAGCGGCTCCATTCCTGTGGACCAGTTTGTGCAGACGCTTGAGAAGGTGATAAGTCTTTGGTGGCAAGTGAGGTTCAAGCCGATTTCTGCTAATCTCTGAAATGTGCTGCTTTGCTGGCAGAGGGAGGGAACGTAATTTTAGCGTGGCTCAAAATGAAGAGGGGCTAATCAGCTGGCAAAGTACTTCAGGGAATGTGTGTCCCTGCACTGAGTTTGTAGGGAACAGTTCCCTGTGGGGACATGTCCTGATATAGGGGCTTCATGTCAGTCGTGTCCTCCTGGTTTCCTATGGAAGCGGAGTTTTTGGGTTCACTCCAGGTGGGTGAGTTTCCCCCACGTAACTTTGGGACCCATCAGCTGATTTCCAATAAATTTGAACAGTGGGGAGGAGGTCTCAAAAGTATTTAATTCCTACAAATTTTGTGAAAATGACCTGACGGAGCGAAGAAGAGATCCTGGAAATGTCTCCACCGACGGAGAAGCTTTCTGAGGAGCTGCGGGACAGGGGGCTGAACTTGCAGGCAGTTGGTTACTGCTGCGCGGAGCCCCGTTCTCACCTGCGTGACTCCGTGGAGAAAATGGGTAGGGAAGAGGGCAGGATTGTCTGTGAGGAAGTTTGCCCTGGGGTTCAGTAGCTCTCCGCTATCATCATCTTTGAGGTGATAATGTCAGCGAATGGTCATTTCTGTAGTTAAAGGAGCCGTTTTGTCCTCTTTGTCTCAAGATTTTGCAGTTGCAGTGACCTCATCTAGTGGAAAATACTGGCTTTAGGCTCCCTGTTGTATAGTTTTTCCATCTGTGTAATGAGGGTCATAGTTAACTTATCCCATGGGCATCTCCTCTGCAAATCCCAGAGACCTAGGATATCCGCAATGGCGCTCTGTATTTTGTAGCCGTTCTCCCCTCTCCTCCCCGCTGTGCCCTAGTCTTTCATCTCTACCTGTTCTCCTGAGTTGTAGTAACATCTCTCTCTTTTACTCCCTCCCCAACGCTACGTCTAGCACGGTTTCAGTGACGTGAAGGTGGAGGACACAGCCAAGGGCCACATCGTACTCCTCCAGGAGGCAGAAACCCTCATTCAGATTGAGGAGGACTCCACACACATCATCTGCGACAACGATGAACCTTTGAGGGTGAAACTGCGTGACCTGGTCCTCAAATTCCTGCAGAAATTTTAGCTCGTGGACATCGTGCTGCTCTGCAAAGAGACACCCCATAGCAGCAGAGCTAAGAGCTTTCCAGAGGATGACCCCAGGGACAGAAAGAGTTTCCTGATTCAAAGAGACCACGAACCGTCTTTCCTTTCAATAGAGAAGCGAGGAAGTATTTTTTAATATCTATATATTTTTTAAGTTTTATTTGTAACCAGGTTTGGAATACTTTGGAAGGGATTCCTGTGCTGTAAAATTGGGAGTTGGAATCTTATAGGAGATACGAACTGCAGAGTAAATAAATAGAGTGTATATTTACAAGGTCAGGGTGGGATTGTGTGCAGAGGCAGACATTTCTCTCTGTGACCCTCTCAGCAACGAATGCCCCAATCCTTTACCTAAGAAAACTCTGCAGGAATATTGAAACAATGGCCTCAGTTATTAAGATATTATTTTTCTTCCCACTGCTTCTTCCTGGTCACCAGATCCAATTTCCGGTCTGTCCTCCATTTACATTGTGCATGTGTGTTTCACTGGCACAAAGAGGAATGAGAAAGCGGCTAAGGCAGATATTGTAAAAATAAAAATAGAAAAAGGGGAGTTACTGAGCGTGTAGAATAGCTTCGAAGTGGGAAGAACCTGGCCATTCCCTGCGAAAGCAGAGGGATTTTGGAAAAGCTGTATGCGTTAGCCACGCGCGGTGTTTATTGACGCTGCACCCTCACCTGTTAGGAGCAGATTCACCCACCTAACTCTGCTGAGACACGCAAAACTCTGGTTTCTCCTGAGTCCCTCCGTGGTCAGTGAAGGAGGTATCGTCTCAGGAACCTTCAAAAGTACATAAAGTAGTTAAACTCCTAGTGCTCATGAAAAACCTTGGAGATTTAAGTGCCTCTTCTTTCTACCTTCTAAAAACCTGTCCTTTCAGCCCCGACAATCCAAAACCCCGGTTGAAATACTGAGTCATTTATACAAAGCCATTCGTACTGCAGACCTGGGGAGGTTTTTTTCACTCCCGAAATCACATATTTGGGGCCTAAACTTAGTTAATAGTATTGCTTTTAAAAGCGACCGATTTCTCAGATTTACTGCTGTTTGGTTTTTATTGGATTGTTTTGTATTTATTTGGTGTTAAAAATAAAAAGCATAGTAAGACTGCCAAGGAGGAAGCACATTCTGTGGTTTAGAAAAGCATCTGCATGCCTAGTCCACGTCCGCCTGTGCGCGTATGTGCCCATTTGTAAAATACAACTACTCCTTCGGTTTATAGCGTTGGGGAGATTAAGGCGGTGGGAGAACAGCTCTGTAATAAAAACTATTTGCTATTGCAGTTTCCACATCGCCTTTCGTACACGTTAAGGATTTCTACTGGATGGGATGTACAGACTGCGGCATCCATACCTTTGCTCTGTGGGTATGTCATGGGAGTGAGAGAAATAGTATCATTAATGTGATAAAAAACTTGTTCCAGTAGCATTAATCCTCATAAGAGTTTACAACATTTGCGGTAGCTCAGCTTCTTTGTCATCGCTCGAAAATAGAATAAAAGAATTGGACATATTTCATCTTGTAATTAAATCTCCAAAAAGATTATTCTGAACACACACAGAGCCCACGTGACAAACTCCGCTGAGCCGCGGAGGCCGGGGGAGCAGGAAGAGTGGGCCCAGTAATATATGAGTCCTTGAGAGCATCCTTCTCCTTGTTACCTCGTCCAGCTCCGGCACTGGTCCCAGTGCTCCAGAGCCTTCATTTTGCGAATACGCTCATTTGCATTTGTAATTATAGTGGGCTTTACTTGCTTTAAGCCCCGAGGCTGTGCGTTGGTGCTTGTCGCGTCCACCCTGGCTGAGCGCGGGCAGTCCGGCAGGGGCCGGTGGGCAGATGGGGAAGGCAGTAGCTGCTGCTCGGTGAGGGCTGCGCTCGAGCGACTGAGAGTTAGGACATCCTGGCCTGTATCAGGAATAGTATGGCCAGGAGGACCAGGGAGGTGATTTTACCCCTGTACTCAGCACTGGTGAGGCCCCACCTCAAGTACTGTGTTCAGTTTTGGGCCCCTCACCACAAGAAGGACATTGAGGCGCTGGAGCGTTTCCAGAGAGGGGCAACGGAGCTGGTGAGGGGTCTGGAGGACGTGTCTTCTGGGGAGTGGCTGAGGGACCTGGGGGTGTTCAGCCTGGAGAAGAGGAGGCTGAGGGGAGACGTTCTCGCTCTCTAAAGCTCCCTAAAAGGAGGTTGCAGTGAGGTGGGAGTCAACCTGTTCTGTCAAGTCACAGGTGATAGAACAAGAGGAAATGGCTCCAAGTTGCGCCGAGGGAAGTTTAGATTGGATATTAGGAAGAATTTCTTTACTGAAAGGGTCATCAGGCACTGGGACGCGTTACCCAGGGCAGTGGTGGAGTCCCCGTCCCTGGAGGTATTTAGGAGTGGTGTAGATACAGTGCTGAGGGACGTGGTTTAGTGGTGGGCTTGGCAGTGTTAGGTGAATGATTGGACTGGATGATCTTACAGGTCTTTTCCAATCTCGGAGATTCTCTGATCCTGTGATCCCAGTCAGTGTGCTGCCGTGACGTCCCACTCGGTGTGCTGCCGTGGAGGAGTCACAGGGGACCTCGTGGGGAGCCATCAGAAGGTGTCACGCTTCACTGTGAGGCGGTTATTTTGGGGCAAAGAACAAGAGAAAATCGGTTTGCTGGCACAGCGAAAGCACACCACAAGCCTGAAATTCCTCCTCTCTTTTTCCTGATGCCTTTTGGGAAAGGGGAAGCCGATTCAGTAATCAGCACTTCGTGGCTGCTTATGAACCGCAGCACCGGCCCCTCATCGCAGCCGTGTGTTGCCGTGTTTGTGAACCACCGCTGACCTTCCCAGCGTGGCTCCACTGAGCTTTTGGGGCAGTGTGGGCTCTGGCCCGTGACTTGTCCCCTGGCCAAGCTGCTGCTGGAGCCCACGTGGGTACGGCTGAGGAGAGCTGCGACTCCCGGGCAGTAACGGGTTCCGAGTGCTCAGTCCCCACGACCCAGGGAGCGAGAAACGTTAAAGACCATCTACAAAGAGTCAAGAAGACCTTGGCTGAGGTTAGAGACGAGTTGTGGCTGCCTGTAGCCAGGGTGATTCATAGAATCATAGAATGGTTTAGGTTGGAAAGGACCTTGAAGATCATCGCGTTCCAACCCCCCTGCCCTGGGCAGGGACACCTCCCACCAGCCCAGGTTGCCCAAGGCCCCCTCCAGCCTGGCCTTGAACACCTCCAGGGATGGGGCCTCAACAACCTCTCTGGGCAACCTGTGCCAGTGCCTCACCACCCTCACAGGGAAAAACTTCTGCCTCATGTTTAATCTAAACCTGCCCTCTTCCAGTTTAGAGCCATTCCCCCTCGTCCTGTCACTCCGTGCCCCAGTAAAAAGTCCCTCCCCAGCTCTCCTGGAGCCCCTTTAGGCACTGGAAGGCGGCAATAAGATCTCCCTGGAGCCTTCTCTTCTCCAGGCTGAACAGCCCCAACTCTCTCAGCCTCTCCTCATAGCAGAGGTGCTCCAGCCCTCGCATCATCCTCGTGGCTCTCCTCTGGACACACTCCAGCAGGTCCATGTCCTTCTTCTGTTGGGGACTCCAGAGCTGGACGCAGTACTCCAGGTGGGGTCTCACCAGAGTGGAGTAGAGGGGCAGAACCCCCTCCCTCGCCCTGGTGGCCACAAGCCAGCTTCCCTTGAGCCAGAACCCAAGAGCTGAACTAAGCGGGTGCTGAGACACGTGGGGACATTTCTGTGATGTTGATGCGGTCGTATGACATGGAGCCCGCAGTAACGGGGCTGCGGATTCACTGACGTAAGAGATTTTACCGGCGCTCTGTGTTTCTCTGACTCTGCAGGTGCGCCAGGGCGGGAAGGCGAGCGAGATTTGCTGCCGTAGCTGAAGTCAGGCAGCGCACCCGGCCTTGCCGCTCGGGGGAGAACGACTCCTACCGCGCTCGTCCCGCACGGCCTCGTTACGCAGCCAGTCGGGTTAGACAGAGCGCCGTCACCGCTCTCAAGGGATTAAGGAAATATTTAAACGTGAGGAGCAAGACAGCCTTTACCGGCCACAACAGCCGCTCCGCAGCAGCGACTAGTGTAGAATTGGGTCAAAATAGCCCTCAATGCTCTCAGCCCCCCGTGGAAATCGCTCAGTGCTGCCCAAAATCGACAGACCTGGAGTGACCCGGTCTAGTCCGGCCTCCGATGGATGATGCTTTTGGACACGTTCCCGGCTTAGTGCCTCGCTTTCCCCTCACGTGACCCAGGAATGGTACCATCCTCCTGCGCGGGCTGCCGTGAGACACAGCTGAAAGCCGCTGCGGCAGACGGCGTATGGAAAGCGGTGTGGTTTGAAGGTAATTCGGAAACCGGGAGTGGGCTGCTGTGCTCGTTAACGGGATTAGAAAACTACTGGAGCCCAACAGGTAGTTTTTAGCTCAGTTCACTACTGACAGGCGACTGATACAATTGGGCTGTCACACCCAAGAATAGCCTCAAAAAAAAAAAAAAATAGCCCAATAAAAGCATCAAATAAAGCTGTCGCAATCCTTATTTGAGGTGCAGAGCTCAGATTCCGACCGGTAACAGCCACGCTGATGTTTTGTCAGGTCATCCGGCAGCTAAAGGGCTGGCCTAAGGTTTGCCCACACCCCTGGAAAGAAAAACATCAATTTAAAAGTTTTCACCTTTTTTTTTTTCCTCTTGTCCTTTTGGGCAGGAAAGCTTCTTACTGCTCCAGTCCGGCATCTGAAAACCGATTCATTTCTTGTAAATGGAAAGGTTGTGCCTGCTGGAAAAATAAAGTATCTGGGGGGGGGGGGGAGATTCTTTAATGAAAAATCTTAATTAAACTAGAGAAAATAAGCGCTTGTTCATTCTGCAGAGAGGAAGAAAAAGAAATACGGTTTCTTCGGGCTGGGTCAGTCCTGCGGAGGTAACCATGGCAGCCCAGGAGCGCTGCAAACGGAGGGGCTGGAAGGCGACGGATGGCGGATACGTGTTAACCGGAGATGCACACGTTAATGGACAGACAACAGCACAGGTACTCGGCTCCACTCTCCTTCTTCCAGAAAAGCAGAAAAAGTCCTCTTGGCCACCGCGTGATGCTCACTGTGCCGTGGCCATCCCCGGTCCCTGTGCCCACGTGTGACGTGGGAGTCCCACGTCCCGCGCTGCGCTTCCCGGGCCTCTCCCTGCGGCTCCCCTAATTAAGCGCGCGCAGCGTTGGCCGCAGCCGGGCTGCTCCTCCAGCGGCCGCCGCGCAGGGCGGCCCCTCGGCCCCCGCCGAGCGATTAGTCCTCGGTGCGCTTC